TTTTTTGATCGTTTTAGTTTGCTTTATCGTCATTTCCCCACTACAATGCCAACCTCCTACTATTTTTGAAGAAGTTCCAGATTTTCGTACCCTAGACCAAAAAAATGAGACCTGCCTACCTCTCCGATTCCCATGATAACTCTGGATACGAAATATGCATAGTAAGACCATTGAGAAAGTAGAGGAGTGAGCAGAGTAACAATAATGTAGTCTAACGTAACAACTGAAAAAAACATGTTGATTAGTGACAAACAAGGGTGAACCTAAAGACTCGAGGAGGCTCTATAGTTCATCCATACCTATGAATATGGACTTTGGACCGTATTTGTCTGCTAGCACACCAGCAAATGAAATCGTCGCCAGGCCACCATAAAAAGTGGCTGACAACAGAAAAGATTGCATTGCTGGACTCCACAAGAAGTCACCCTGAAATAGGATAAAGCACCTGAAAGTAAAAAAAAACACGAATAGATTATCAACACAAAAGAAGCAAAATAGTTGGGTATACAAAACGGTTAGAGCGGAAACGGAATTCAGTTGGGGAGGCTAGGATGTGGATTCACTTGAAGGCAGTGGTTAGATGACAAGAGGCGGGCGGTTGATGCCAGCGCCATTGGTCGAAGGGCATAGTGGGTGTAGCCGAGCGCCTCCGCGCCACCCTTCCATCAGTGACTTCGGCAGCAACCGCCCGCCACCAGCCATCATACCCACTGCCTTTAAAGACAGCCCCCGCGCTCAAGTAGTACATGGTCGTCCTTCCTTGTGCAGTAGTTCAGCCCCCAAGCTAGATACTGTCCCACTCTCGCGACTCCACAGTGAGCGAGGAGCGAGCTACAGCCGCTCAAAGTTCTAGTTCTAACGCCCGCCCAGTTGGACCGCCCACTTGCTAGATGCCCTCTGACGGAGAGCCGCTCAGTTGTTCTTTGTTGGGACGGCGGGCATTAATCGGAACTGCATGCCCTTTTTGCTGACCGCGCTCGTGCCCATGAATAATTCTGCTCTCCTTTATTACATTTTATTCATTGGGAGCACATACAGTCAACTGCAACCCATCTCGCAAGGTAAAACGCGTAAAAATCACGAGTGATGCAATTCTTGTGGTGCAAACATTCGA